CCCCTCTGTACCTATAGTTATTTGTCTTGGAATCACTTGTGAAAGTGTATAAAGTACGTAAAGCTTGAAAAATAACCAAAGCGAAGTCTCTTGTCTATCTAACCCAGTGGTTCTCAACCTCTGGGTTGCGACCCCTTTGGGGGTCAAACGACCCTTTCACAGGGGTCGCCGTGTACTCATATGTGGGCATATTTGCATGTGGGCCTGGAGACAGATAGAGGAGCGGTGTCTCGGTTCCTAAGACCATCGAAAATATGTTTTCTGATGGTCTTGAGCGACCCCTGTGAAAGGTTGAGAACCACTGATCTAACCTCTTTAATCTCTCATTACACATTTTCTTGCAGAGTCAGCTTTGCACCCCTAAACAGGACAAAGAATGAAACTTTTTTAATTTTTTACGGAACTTTTTGTACTTTTTGGGGATACTCATTTAACATTAGATTTTCTTTATCTAAAAATTTTAATGAAAGAAAGAATGAGAAGCATAGCAAAACAAACAAGGTTGGTAGAAACTCATGAAAAAAAAATTCTACGTCTCTGAATGATACAAAAACAAAAGGGACAGCATGCCACACAGGTTGGTGGTTTTGTTTTTCCCCCCGTGAAAACACTGACCATGATTCTTTAGGGCTGGAATTCTTTAGGATCGAATTCCTCTGGGACTGGAACGCTTCTGTGGCGTATAAGACAAATCGTAAATGTAGTCATAGTAGCTGTGATAAGCTGGCATTGCTGAGATGCCGGACACAGTTATTGGAACCTCAGTGCCACCAAATATCATTTTTCCCTCTCATCAAGTGCATTCTCTTAAAGTTTGGAGGTGGGAATGGAGAGGGGCAGGAGTTAAATGGAGCAGAAAATGGCGGGGGAGATAAAATTGGAGGGAAGGCAACAAAGCCTTTTAAAAAATATACCAGGTTTATTGTGGTATAGTTTGCATTCAATAATTTTCCATTTTAAAGTGTACTGTTCTATGAGTGTTAACAAATGTATACAGTCTTGCAGCCTTGCAACCTTGAGACCACAACCACATTCAATATATAAAACAGTTTCATTACCCCCCACCACCAAATCTCCATTTACAGTCACTCCCTTCCCCAGTCCCTGGCAACCACTGATCTGTTTTTCATCCATACAGTTTTGCCCTTTCTGAAATGTCATATGAATGGAATCATATACTATATGATCTTTGTTTCTGACTTTTGCCATAATGCTTTTGAGATCCATCTACATTCTTTCATGTGTCAGTAGTTAGTTCCAAGAATATTTTATAAAGAACTTTTAAAACAGTGGTCCCTGTCATAAACCCAAATTCAAAACCTCTCATGCATTCTTCACGTATCTTACCAGCCCGCAGTGAGTTCTGTGCTTGGTTTCGCTTTGAAGGGGGGCCACTCCTACATTCCCCTCCAATAGTTTCTGAACTTGCTGGAAACAATATTCTTTTATCGGAAGTAAAAACCACAGCAAAGAGCAAGCCTTGTTTTGCTTTCTTAATTAGGACCCTTTGGTTGCAAGCAGTGGAAGTTAACTCAAACTAGATTAAGAAAAATAGTAAGTCTTGTAACAGCATTGCAGTTACAGCTCAGATCTCAAAGACATCAAGGGCAACTGGGCTTCAGGGCAAGCCCGGAGGCTAGAAGCAGGAATGGGAAGCAGACTCAGTTCTTCCTCTTATCTCTGTGTCTCAGCTCATAGGTTTCCTTGATCTCTCTCCTACGGACCAGCTTGATCCACATTCTCATCAACCCTATGGTTTCCCCATAGTCAAAGGGGGGCTCTCAGGCCAGTTCCAAATTTCCAGGGACTAATCAGCCACCCTTCCCTAGTCCAGTCTACATTGAATGTTGTATGTGTGTGGCCGGAGAGGGATGGATAGATAGTCATGTAATAAAAACATTGCAAACATTGTTATAGGGGGCCCACTCATATGAATTGGCTTGGTTTGGGGAGAGACTTTGCAGGGAAGAGGGACTCATTGAGAACTAGTCAGAGGCAGTGAAAGATTCCTGTTCATTCTTCAATTTTACCATTAGTATTGGTCAAATGTTACTAACCTGTCTTAGCCTGACAACTGATTTTCAACCTTTTATATATTCACCTTAGAAAACTGGGGGGAAAAGGTTTATATAATTGTTATGTTTTAATGAAATCTGAGAGTACACAGTAGTTTTACCTGCATCTCATTATGTTCATCTTTATCTTGTCATTTTTATTTATGGTATGAATGTTACATTACTGTAGTGGTTTGACCCAAATTCTTACATGCATACCCTTAAAATATATTAATTCTCGTCTTTTTAAAGATTAATTTAATGATTATATTTTTCTCATTCCTCCCTTGGGGGACCTTTTTAGGAAAGGTTACTTTTCCTTGAAAATTAGTGACCAGCAGTTCTTCTCTGAGCCACAGCTGATCAACATACAAGCATTTTCAACACAGGTAATACAAATCTTATGTAATTAATAATTTCACATGCCTACCAATTCTCAAGCACAAATCAAGGTTTCTTGTATTGGGTTGTTGGAAAAGTCATGACGTATTTTTGCAATGAAAAACATAGAAAAAATACATCATGACTTTTCCGACAACCCAATAGTTGTTGCAAAATGATTGAGCTAAATTAATCTTATCTCAGTTTCCCCATGGAATAGTCTTTAGGACTTGAGGACAATAACAAGAGCAATGACAATTGCTAATACATCTATAGTACTCTTTGTAGTGTTTCTCATTTAATCCTCATGTCATCCCTATGAGCTATTATTATCCCCAATTTACAGTGAGGACTCTAAGTCAGGTTTCTAGTTGTTAAGACTTTCCTTATTCTTAGATAAATGAGTTTGTTTTGTCTAAATGTTTCCCTCTCATGGACATGGAATTATGTTGGCCACTTGTGCCTATCTATTATATAGCTGGACTGCATTTTTTTTCATTTTGCAGTAGTTAGAGGATATTATTAAGGATCTATTTAAATGATGTGGCAGTGTGGTCACCAGCCTGGTCTGAGGAAATTATGGTAGATGCTGTAAAACTCAATGTGATGACTCTTCTGTTCTCATCACTCATCTCTGTCAAGTTGTACTTATGTGTCCAGAATTCATATAGTGGTAGAAGCTCTTAGTAATTGGACTTGAGGGACTAAACCGCTGAAATGTGCAAAGAGAGTAAGAAGATAGATATATTCTTAAGCTGTGAACAGCAAGAGAGTGGGACATCATCATGAGGAACCAAAGCTACCTAAGTATCCAGAGCTCAGTAGTGTGTTAGTCATGATTCAAAGAAGGACATGAGATCATTTTGTTTTTTGTTTTTTGGGGTTTTTTTAAGACTTTTATTGGGGAATTGGGGGATGGGAACAGTGCTGGGGAATTGGGGGAAGGGGAACAGACAAGTTGCTGTCGTTTTGTTCTTCAGTCTAGTTGTGGAGGACGTTGCTTCACTGGGCCAAGTTGGCACCATCATTGCGCTCTTCCCGGGTGAGGCAGATCAGTCGCCAGCTTCTGGACAGCCGCTCACTGTGGCTGCTGGCCACTCACGCTGGCTGCTGGCTACATATGGTAGCCCATGGCAACCCACTGCCACAGGGGCTGCAGCCTACGCCGTCACCGGTGACTCACGGCAGCCCAGCTCCAGGTTGAGCTGTTGTTCAGCATCTTAGCTGTGGAGGGCAGTGTCACTGGCCCTCATATGTGGGATCCGAACCGGGGCCCTCTGGCGTCCCAAGCCAGTTCTTAACCATCGCGCCGCTTGAGCGGCCCATGAGATCATTGTTTTTAAACTGATATTTTTATATCTTTGGTCCAAAAATGAAAAGACCATGGAACTTGGATAATATAGACTTGAACTAGAAGTGGGGCTGCCAGATGGTATTAACAGCCCAACTCAACTCTTCTTGATGGCAAAATCACTTTAGGGTTGACTGAAGTTGAGAAATGATTAGAAATTTATCCTAAGTTAATTTGATCCCCGGATAGGGCTAAGAGTATGAATTTTGTTTTAACTAAAGCTAAAATATGTGAGCTCTGTAAATATGGACCAGAGGGTCATATGAAGTCTCAGAATTGGCTGGCTTAGAATTTTTTCAGTACTTAAGGTCAGAAGTTCTGTTTTGTTCTTTTTGTTTGTGTAATATAGTTAATCTAAACAGGTGACTAAAAAGCCTATTGTAGGTATTAGCAAGTGGCTTCCTCACTGAGATGGTGACTTCCCATGATTCCCTGATTTTTGTTTGTTTGTTTTTCCAAAATCAAGTGAGTTGATAACAAGGGCACATTTTTATTTTATTTATTTATTTTATTTTTTAAAGATTTTATTGGGGAATTGGGGGAGGGGAACAGTGCTGGGGAATTGAGGGAAGGGGAACAAACAAGGTGCTGTCCTTATGTTCTTCATTCTAATTGTAGAGAATGTTGCTTCACTGGCCCAAGTTGGCACCATCATTGCGTTCTTCCCAGGCGAGGCAGATCAGTTGCTGTCTTCTGGACTATTTTATTTATTATGTATGAAGCTTTTATCATTTTAACTTTTCAAAAGTGGAATTTTAGAAATGAATTATAATTTATTTTTGTTCATTTACATTTCTGTGATATTTCCACATGGTCTTGAGTCTCCCTGAGATTTTCTCATGTAAGTTAATTTGATCTTTTCCATTTATAGATTTTGACATCATCTTTGACCTCTCCTCTTTAAAATTCAAGGGACCCTTCATTCCCATGTATAAAACCACAGCTTTTGAATTTTCACTTGGGAATTCTGAGTTGCTATCATCTAGTTTCCTATTATGTGAATATTATAATGATGCATTAGTTAGACATTACTTTATAGATATTGAAATTTCCAGGAGACCAGGAGGGGTGGTTTTTTAAAAACAAAAAACAAAAAAATCATTTGGATTAAAGAAGGCTATGTGCTGACAAAAATCCTAGATAGTTCAACTTTAAAAAAAATAAAAAACTAAGCTAATGGATAATGGTTTTTTGGCTTCTGGCCTTAGTGGTTTTTTTGGAGGGAGGGTGAATTTTTTGTCTATTATGGTTCATTAGCTTTTATTTTTATGAAAGAACATTTTATCTGCTTACTCAAGTTGGTGAGAGGAAGCCCACTAATCCTAAGGAAAGCATATTCAATTTGCTATATTAGCAGTGCCACATGAATTGACCAAGTGGTTGCCTTACTCAGACCATGATCTTATCTAGCTTTATAACCTGAATTGGAATGGGCCCCTTCAAAATATGGATGAGACAGCTTGAAGAAAATTACTCGGAGGGACCAGAAATAACATGAATTCAGAATGCAGAGGTATCTTACTCCTATTCAGCATGCTACAACATAGCCTAGAGTGATATGCTCAACTGCCAGCACAAGTGCCAAAATTCCATATCTCTTATTAGTCTCTCTTGGATGCACACAACTGTTCGAGTTGCCTGACACTGAGCTGATCTCAGTTGCAATGCAGAGGATGCAGTGTAAATCAAGATAGCAGAGACTTCAATGATTTAGAAGTAAGCAGGTCTTTGCAATTGCCTCTGATGAATATTGTGGTCTTGAAGTGGCTTGAGAAACCTCTAGAACCAGAGGTGTGAAGTAATCCCATTTGCTGTGATTACTATGACTGACCATACCTTTGACAAATACTTTGAATATGCAGCAGTTTGGCACTTTGCTAGAACATCTACAATTCCGTAAAAAGCATCAAAATGTCCATCAGGTTGCCCACCGCTGGTATCTAGCCCACTGGATTACCCTCTCTTTTCTTGCTAAGTGGCTTCTCTTCTCCTCCTTCCCTTCCTTTCACAGGCTCCCTATGTGCTGAGAAATGAGGCCCTCCACATTAGCAGAGGAGAGAGGGGAACCATCACTACCCAGCTGCTTGACATCCGAGATGATGACAACCCACAGGACGTGGTGGTCGAAGTGCTGGATCCTCCACTTCATGGCCAACTGCTCCAAACACTTCAGTCCCCTGCAGCTCCTGTCTATCAATTCCGGCTAGATGAACTCTCCAGGGGCCTTCTCCTCTATGTGCATGATGGCTTGGATAGCATATCTGATGTTGTAGTCTTGCAGGCCAATGATGGACACTCCTTCCAGAATATACTGTTCCACGTGAAGACCGTGCCCAAGGTACGTGTCTTTCCCAGAGCTGCAGTTTCCTTGTCCTAGATGTGAAGTTTTGTTGATGATATTATTTTGCAATATTCATAGAGTTAAGGTATGGGTAGTTATTTATTTATTTGAACACTCTTTAAGCACCTATTATGGAGATACTTAAGACTTTCAAAGATAAAGAGAACACAGCACCTAATCTCAGGGGGCAGTATATATTTTGTTATGAGCACTCTTGATCTGAAAGAGCTAGCCCCATGTTCTCCACAAAAGTGAAGCTCTTGAATTTCCATGTTGACTTGCTGCCATAGAAATGCCTCATTGTCCACTGAGCCTTTTGTCTCCTGCTTGAGCATAAGCATAAGAATCAAGTGCACCCCTGCTCCTGTCTGCTCTTCTAAAACAGCTCATGCAAAGTATGAAATACATAATCCAGCTATCATAATGGATTGAAAAGGATGAGTTCAGACATTCTGTTAGCCCAACCAAACTAGGATGAGTGAACTCTTTCTGTTACTATTCACAGGAATCCTTGGGGGAATCTAGGGGGTAAAAGTTCATTAAGAGTGTGTTTCTGAGCCTGAGACATTCCCATGACACCTCCATATTCTTTGCCATGTCCACAAGTACCTGTCCTATAATTTACTTAATACCTTTCTTTGAATCAACTTGCTATTTTGTTGTGGCATCATACTAATAAATAATAATTGTAACATCATGGCCTTAATGTAGAATTAATGTTTTTTCTAAAACACTAAAATTAATACATAACCATTTTATAAAATTTTGTCCATGTGCTACATAAAATATTCTTGGATACTATTAATCAGATGACTATAACATTTTGGGAAATACTAGGTTAACCCATGCCAGATCAAAGAGACCAATTGAAAGATATTTTCAAAACCATTAATTACTTGATGATATTTCACTACAAGTTCTTCTCTTACAGCAAGAATGGCTCTTTCCCATGGTGGTAGACTGGGAGACTTATAATTTGGGGGAACTCTTCATTCCAAATATCAGTACCTAATTAGTAATTAGCTAGAGAAATTGATTTGCTGAGGACAGGTTAGAAATCATTTGTCACTTTCTCACTGATGATCACTCAAAATTTGTGATTGATCCTTGTGAAGGCAAGCAGCCGAGTCTAAGATGCTCTGCTAGCCAGTTTCTCAGGCTCTCGTCTCATTATTTTCAGCTGCTGAAAACAGCGATGGTGAGATAGATGGGAGTAAATGAAGGCTGATTATAAGAGTTGGCAGATAGCCACGTTGTAGCTAATCCTAATTACCACCCTCTTGCAATCGCTCTGGGAAATGAAGTTTAATTCTGAAGAGATGAAGTCTAGACAGATGCAGAAAGTTTTCTTTTCATCCTTCTTGGTTTCTTTCCAAAGAATTTTTCTAGGACTTCATTGCAACCCTAGCAGCCTCCTTTCCTATCGTGGCTTCAATTTGCATGTTTGGAGCTCAGCTCAGTGTATTGCATGGCATGACACAAGGTTGAAGGGTATTTCTAGTATTTTAGCTGCTTTTACTACTGAAACAAAACAAAGAAAAATAGAATTTCAATTTACAAGTGAGGCATAAGCACAAAACTTGAAAATCCTTGTAGTGCTTATAACTTGGGGGTCATGTTGGTACTTATAGTGTCTGTTCCTCCTTCCCCCTGCCATCCCTCCATCCCCTGTGGTGCTGTGCTTACCTTGCCATCAGGTGAACTAATGGCTTCTAAGCCAATGAATTGGGATAATGAAAGCAGGGGCTAGAGCCTCGACATCCATCAGAATATATACTATAGTTTTTAAGAAATTCAAAGTACTTTTTCTCATATCTGTTCTACTGATCTTTACAATATCTTAGCAAAGAAGGTTAGAGTCGAGGCTATATGACCTTGTTTCTTCTAAAGGAAATTCTACTATGGCTAGAAGGGGCTTTTGTTTGTTTTGTTTTTAACCTTTATTGAGCACTAATGCTTAATGTAAATTATTCCATTTTATCTTCATAATCATTCTAGAATGTTTGTACAGTTATTATCTCTAGTTTTCAAAAAAAAGAAAACTAAAAAAAAAAAAAAAAGAAGGCCTGAAAACAGTTAAAGAGGTTTTAAAATATTTATTTCTCATGAAGGTATTTAGTGCTAGAGCTGTGATGTCAACTCAAGTGTGTGCATTCTGGCTCTCACACTTAACCACATGGCTTTTTTCATTCTAGCCCATATTCAATGTTTTGGTCATATATATTATCATATCTCCTTAATGGAAAGAATGGACACAGCAATTTGGTCATTTTCTCAATGTCCTAGCTAAGCAGCATGGTCCCCAAACCTCCTGGAATCTTCCCTCTGGACTCATCTTGTTACAAGTGAAACTATTTATAATCATAAGTCTCCTGGAGCCTAAGAAATAAAAATTGCCTCAACTGTTGACTGCTTCCAGTAGATGCATAGTCAGACATGATTGATTTTGCTCTGACAACTATTTCTGAAGATGAGCATCCAAGACCTTACCCTGAGGCTACCTGTGTACTAAATTTTGAATGAGGCCAATTACTGGCTGATGTCTAGCTGGTGGCTTAAATGGAATCACCAAATAGGTTAGGTCTAATTCCTAGTGAATGGATGTACAAATTAATCTCAATGTTGTTCAACAGAAAACTTAATCTGGTAAAATAGATGGACAAGGAGAGAGGGGTAGGAAAGGAAGCTTTGTGAGAGCAGCAACTGTTTCAGTCTTACTCTGTTGAGCCAAACACCTCTGAGTACCTCTACTGATGTTGGCATGGCCCATCTGGGACTGAGGGTAGGTGCTGTCAATTCCACTCTTGTTTTTCAAGTTCTACATCACTTTCCCCACACTTAAGTTTTTATCCTTGGCCTGTCAGGGAGTAAACTTGACTGCTACCCTCCAGGCTTATACTGAGTCACCAAGGAAAAAATAGACCCAGGATTGATGTCGAAACATATTCTGTTAGGAGAAGGAGGCAAAAGAAATCAAAAAGATTAAAAGGTAATAAAAGAATGCTGTGCTGAACAGGCTTTCATTAATTGGGTGGATTACCAAACCCAAGCCTGCTAGAGATATGATTCTAAAGCAGTTCGATGTTTAATAAGGGCCTAGGTTATTGGTGGATTTCTCTCCACTGCTGGGCTTTGAAGGAGTCACCTTTTTCAATAATTAAGGCATCTCTGGAAATCAGGCCTTTTTTTCCACTTTGGCAATAAATCTGATGATCTTTCTGACCTCATTTTTTTGTTGTTTGAGCAGTTTTCTGCAACTGGGCAATGCTTTGATGTTAAAAGCCCCCAAGTGTCATGCTGTGAACTGGATGGAAAATTCTATTGCTGAGAGTCCTCTCTGGCTGTTTGACCTTGTAAGGTCTGTGTGCACCTAAAAGCCCTATTATGGCCTCAATTTTATTTTTTTAATATCCTTTTTTCTTCTCATTGGATTTTCATTCAGGATGAACACTTTTTTTTCTTTTTTTTTTTTTAAAGATTTTTATTGGGTAATTGGGGGGATGGGAACAGTACTTGGGAATTAGGGGAAGGGGAACAGACAAGTTGCTGTCGTTTTGTTCTTCAATCTAGTTGTGGAGGACACTGCTTCACTGGCCCAAGTTGGCACCATCATTGCGCTCTTCCCTGGCGAGGCAGATCAGTCGCCGGCTTCTGGACGGCCGCTCACTGCGGCTGCTGGCCACTCACGCTGGCTGCTGGCCGCTCACGCTGGCTGCTGGCTACACATGGTAGCCCATGGCAACCCACTGCCACAGGGACTGCAGCCTACACCGTCGCCAGCGACTCACGGCAGCCCAGCTCCAGGTTGAGCTGTTGTTCAGCATCTTAGCTGTAGAGGGCAGTGTCACTGGCCCTCATATGTGGGATCCGAACCGGGGCCCTCTGGCATCCCAAGCGAGTTCTTAACCATCGCGCCACTCGGCCGGCCCCCTCAATTTTTTTTTAAAAGCTATCCTCCCATTGGTTAACTTGCAGCAACACAGTTTGATAATAAGGATGTTTGGAGAATTATAAATATCAATGGCACAAAATGTTTATTTTTCTGAATAAGAGTCTATCTCATAAATAAAGAAATCCTCACTACGTGTTAGGGTTTCATCTTTTTGGACTTGCTTAAGTTGTTCAATTTAGTGTCTTGTAAGATGCATCGCTCAGGGTATACATTCAAAAAATCTTTGTTGATTACAAAAAATTTATTTATTTGTTTATTTATCTGTTTATTTATCTATCTGTTTCATTAGAAAGCAGTTGAAATCTACATGGAGAGAAGGTTCTATGCTCTTGACCTGAAGGAGAAAGGTTTCTTCATATACACACATTGACAAACCCAAAAACAGCCCAATTATCTTTCTATCATTCTTCATTCTGGTAAATAGCATCAAAGTTTCACCTTATATGTGTCACCGCACATGATCCTTCCCTAAAATCTGCAATGTTCCATGATCACAATTTAAAAGCTATGGTTTAAATGAGCGTTTGCAAAGTAAGGTGTATTTACAGAATAAATAAAATGTTAGAGTTGACATTGACATAGACTATATCCAACTATAATCATTTTCTATTTAATTAAGTTTTAAAATTTTTTACCTTGAATATTTCAGCCTGAGGTTGGGGTACACTATCATTTGAGCTCATCATTTATGTCTGAAACTTTAATTTGGAGGTGGGAAAGTTTTCATTTTGTTTGTGGGGTATTTTTTTCACTCCAAATTTTAGAGACATTGGCCCTTACTTCTGATTTACAACATTAATATTTTTATTTGTAATACACTATACAATGGCTATAGTTTTTTTACCAACATTTCTGTATGTCTATTATTCTATGAAATGAATTAGAAGAGCTGTTTAATTTAAAGCACTGTTTTAATTATGCACCCATAATTCTTTATTGGGATTTCATTACCTTATAATGTGGTACCCTGAAGGATATATAAAACATCACTAGGCAGAAGATTTGCTAACAAATATTATGTCTAATTTCTACAGTTTACAGGGATATGTGCACTGTTGTGCAGAAGAAGAAAAAGAACTACAAGGAGATAAAGCAGTTGCAAAATGGGGAAATTAGGCTAGAATTTTTAGCTTTTTGGACACCTCAGCTGTAGAAAAGATGGCTTATAGCTTTCTATTCATCTCTTCTTAAAACTTCCCTGAACCCTCTCCCAAAGGAAAGCAACCAGAAAAAAAAAATCTTCATCATAATGAGTAGGAAGAATTGTAATTCTTTTCCTTAGACAGTTGTCTGTTTCTTCTTAAGTACTGTAAACAAATAATTAAGAAACAGAGGCATATGTATTATCCTATTATAAACATAAACATTGTAAAATGTCTGTCTGTGGAGATTGGGAGAACCACTTTAGACCCATCACAATCTCTATCCTGGGCCATGTTTCTTACTCTTTAGCATGACTCCACATCCATGGGGTTCTTGTTAAAATGCAAGTGGGAATGCACCAAACTAAAAAGCTGCACATCAAAGGAAATAATCTACAAAATGAAAAGGCAACCTATAGAATGGGAAAAAACCATTTGAAACTATATATTGAAACCATATATCTGATAAGGGATTCATATGCAAAATATATAAGAAATGCAAACAACTCAATAGCAGAAACACAAGTTGGTTAAAAATGGACTAGGGACTGGCATAGACATCTCTCAAAAGAAGACATACAGATGGCCAACAGAGACATAAAAAGGTGCTCCACATCACTAATCATCAGGGAAATATAAATCAAAACCACAATGAGATATTACCTCACACCTGTTAGAATGGCTATCATCAAACAGACAAAAGATACGTAACAAGTGTTCATAAGGGTGTGGAGAAAAGGGAACCTTCATACACTGTTGGTAAGAATGTAAATTGGTACAGCCATTATGGAAAACAGTGTGGAGGTTTCTCAAAAAATTAAAAGTAGAAACCATGTAATCCGGCAATCCCACTTCTGGGTGTCCATCCATCCAATTGAAATTAAATCAGTATCTTGAAGAGATATATGCACTCCCATGTTTCCTGCAGCATTATTCACAATAAACAAGATATGGACATAACCTAAATGTCCTTCAATGGATGAAGGAATAAACAAAATGCGGTCTATATATACAACAGAAAATTTTTCAGCCTTTAAAAAACAGGAAAGCCCATTCATTTATGACAGCATGGATGAGCCTGGAGGACATTTTGCTAAATAAAATAAACCAGACACAGAAGGACAAATACTGTATGATGTCCTTTAATTTGAAGTCTAAAAAAGGTTGAACTCATAAAAGCAGAGTAAAATGGTTCTTTCCAGGGGCTGGGGGAGGGGGAGATGTTGGTCAAAGGGTACAAAGGCTCCATTATAAGAGATGAATAAGGTCTGGTGATCTAACATACAGCATGGCGACCATACTTAATAATATTGAATACTTGAAATTCGCTAAGAGAGTTGATCATAGTGTTTTCAACACACACACACACACACACACACACACACACACGCATACAACCATAACTATGTGAGGTGATGGATATTTTTATTAGCTTAATTGTAATTATTTCAGAGTATACATATATCAAAACATGTTGTACACCTTAAATATTAACATAAACAATTTTTATTGGTGAAGTATACTTCAGTAAAGCTGGTGAGAAAAATAAAATGTATATTCTAATTCAGAAGGTCTGATTCAGAAGGTCTGGGGTGCGGCTCTGAGATTCTGAACTTTCAATAAGCTTCCAGATGTTGCTGGTCTCTGAATACTGACTTGCAAGTACTGTCTCCTAGAAATTTACACTTACATAGGAATTACAGGGAATTGTGTTGATAAAGTGTAGTCAAGATAGAAACGTAGTGAGAGAGACATTCAGGGACGTGCATTGGGGTCACAGCGCTTACTTACTTGGAAGATGGAAAACCACATTGCCTCATCAGTCCGAGATTGTGGTTGTTGGTGTATGACTGATCTCCGTAGCCATAATCAAAGTTGACGAGGCTGCTGCTGTTAGAAAGATTTCTAGCAATTAAGGCACTTGGGTCCAAGTGTATTATGTTGTATAAAACTCTGCTGGAATGAATAGGACCTTTTCCCCCCAAGAATTCTGGTAGAAGACAAGCCAAGCTCTTGGCGTGCTTTGATATTTTGGTAAACAATATGCTGTGTCAGCTGTGAAAGGAGAAAGCTCTCCGGGATTTTGCTGTTGAGCATTCATCTCATCACAATACAAGGTGCCTTTGCTGCTGTTCCCCTGGGAGCTGTTTGACTCAGTTTCCTAGCGATTGTGATAAACATAGCTTTGACTGCCTCCTGAGAGGGGCAAATGCTCTCCTGTCAAGTGACTGGAAGGAATATTTGTTGTCTTCTGTTCTGAATATTCCCTTCACAGGAGCGTCGTTCGCTCTGTTCTCTTTATTAGCATATTTGAAAGTAATAATAATTTAGAAAAACATGCTTGCTGAAATGCCATATTTTAAAGTATCCGATTTACTGGTTTTTGAAGTATGAAAACAAACTGAAAACTGAACAGACAGCCTCACTAACCTCATACTGTGGAAAATATTAATTACGAGTCTTTGGAAGAGGTGCGCACCTCGCAGATCAGAGATGGCAGCGCTGTTCAATGACATTAGCTTTAGCAATTAAAATGGTTGCCTTCTCAGGAGTGCTAAATAGGTGATTTCTTCCAGCCAGCTATTCCCAACTGTTGTTTCTAAGGCTTCACTTTCAATCAATCATCCAGGCCTGTCAGTTTGGCCTCTATGGTGTTCCTGGAATGTGCTTCTAATTATTCATTCCCACTGCAATTACCTTCTCATCTTCTCTCACCTGAGCCATTACAAACACTTGTTAAATGGTTTCTATAGCTCCAAATTCATCCCAGCTCTAGTCCCTTCTGTCCCTTGCTGCTGGATGCTTTCTAAAACCCAGATCTGATCATCTCATCTCCTTCCCTGAACACTCATATTGCCTTCATGGTGCTTAGAAGATAAATTGAGTTTTTTAACATAGCTTCTGCCTTCTACTAGCCATCTGTAAGAGAACATCACTTTTCATTCACCCACTCCCTCGGCTCCCTCATCTTCACTTGTGTAGGCACTTGGCTAGCACACAGTGCATTGTCTCTTGTCTTTGCTTAGGCTGGGCTCTCTGCCTGGAATCTGTTTCACCGCTTCTCTACCTAGCCCGTATTTTTTTTGTCATTAAAGAATTAAATGATATTTCCATAGGAAAGCCTTCCTGAGCATTCCTTCGCCAAAAAGGAAATCTCCTTTGCCTTCATTCCCCCACAGCGTCCTGCTCAAGCTTCTCATAGAGCCTCGCTTGTGATGCATCCTAATTATTTCTGTGCCTGTCTCCCCCACTAGATTGTAAGTTCTGAAACTGAGGTCTTCTTTCAGCCATCTTTAGATATTTCAGGACTCTAGCAGAAGAGCCGGTATATAATAGGTGCTTAATGATTCGTTCTTGAATGTGGGTGAATGGGGAGGATGGGAGGACAGGTCGGTGGACAAATCAAATAAAGAAATGGAGAGATTAGTCTTGCTGAAATAAGTTATTTGCTCATGAAAATTTAAAAGAAACAGGAGGATGTATAATGTGTACATATATACATATACATGTATATATATATATGTAAGTATAGATATATACTTAGTATACACACATTTAGTTCATAGTGTGACCCTAAAACAAAGAATCTCTCTTAGATGATCATTAGCAGCAATAGAGCCTAATAACTTATGTTTCTAAGCACTGGTATTTTCTTATGTTGCTTGCACCTAATTTGTACTCTTTCCTTATTCTAGAATGATGCAGGTCTTCGGCTTGTGGCTAACTCAATGGTATGGGTTCCAGAAGGGGGAATGATGCAGATTACCAACAGGATCTTACAGGCTGAAGCGCCAGGTGCCAGTGCCTCAGACATCACCTACAAAATTACACAGGACCGCCCCCAATTTGGTAACTCCTTTTTCCTGTGTCATGATTTCACTATTTCATTCAGCAGTCTTAGACTTGCTTTTGTATGATGCCATAAAACAAGGTTGTGATTACAATGAACTTGACTTTCTAATATTTCACATATCCTCCTTAAAAACAGAATAATTAAAAGAAACATCACACTGCACACACATTATATACTAGGTAGTATGCTAAGCAAGGTAAACATATTATATAAAAACCTAAAATTTCAGAAGTGTTTTTAAAAGAGTTTTATTAAAATACAACTAACATACAATATTATATAGTTTCAGGGGTATACCATAGTTATTCAACATTTACATACCTAAAGAAGTGATCACCATGGTAAGTCCAGCAACCATCTGACACCTTACCATGCTATCACAATATTATTGACTATATTCCCTATGCTGTACATTATATCCCCATGGCTTATTTGTTTTATACCTGGAAATTTGAACCTCTTATCCCCTTCACCTTTTCCCGTCTTTTTTAATTTTTCAATTTCAGTTGACATTCAATATTATTTTATATTAATTCCAGGTGTACAGCATAGTGGTTAGACATTTATATAATTAAAGAAGTGATCCCCCTGACTAGTCTAGTACCCACCTAGCACTATACATAGTTATTACCATATTATTGACTATATTTCCTATGCTTTACATTTCCATGATTATTTTGTAACTATTAATTTGTACTTTTCTTTTTTTTTAAATTCTATTGGGAGTTGGGGGAGGGGAACAGTGCTGGGGAATTGGGGATGGGGACCAGCCAAGTCGTTGCCCCCCAATCCTCACTGTAGAGGGCACCAGTCACCATCTGGCCACCTGTTGGCAGTTTGCAGACTCTAAGTTCAAGGTGCTGTGTTCAATCCTAGCTGCGGGTGAGCAGAGCCATCATCCCATGTGGGAATCAAACCAGCAGCCCTGTTGTTAAGAATGCACGCTCTATCTACTGAGCCATCTGGATGGCAGCTCAGCTCAAGCTGCCAAGTTCAGTCTTAGTTGCGGGTGGGCATAGCCCACCATCGAACAGGCAATCTTGTTGTTACACCATCTGAGCCATCCTGCCACCTGCCGGCAGCTGAGCAACAGCTCAGCTCGGGTGCCGCATCACTGGCCCATGTGGGAATCCAACCAGCGGCCCCACCACTCAGAGCCCACACTCTTAAGCCAACTCTTAATCAACTGAGCCACTCGGCTGGCCCAATTTGTACTTCTTAATTCCTTCACTTTTTACCCTGACCCCAAGTGTCTGCCCATTATCTATCACCCCAAAAAAATCTAGTACCCATCTGACACCATCCATAGTTATTACAATATTATTGACTATATTCTTTATGCTGTACCCTACATCCCATGACTAGTGTATGACAACCAGTTTGTACTTCTTAATTTTCTTTTTTTTTTTTAAGATTTTTTATTGGGGAATTGGGGGGATGGGAACAGTGCTGGGGAGTTGGGGGAAGGGGAACAGACAAGTTGCTGTCGTTTTGTTCTTCAATCTAGTTGTGGAGGATGTTGCTTCACTGGCCCAAGTTGGCACCATCATTGCGCTCTTCTCTGGTGAGGCAGATCAGTCGCCGGCTTCTGGACGGCCGCTCACTGCGGCTGCTGGCCGCTCACGCTGGCTGCTGGCCACACACGGTAGCCCATGGCAATCCACTGCCACAGGGACTGCAGCCCACGCCGTCGCCGGCGACTCATGGCAGCCCAGCTCCAGGTTGAGCTGTTGTTCAGCATCTCAGCTGCGGAGGGCAGTGTCACTGGCCCTCATATGTGGGATCCGAACCGGGGCCCTCTGGCATCCCAAGCGAGTTCTTAACCATCGCGCCACTCGGCCGGCCCTGTACTTCTTAATTTTCTTACCCTTTTTCACCCCACCCTACCAGCCCCCTTCCCATCTCGCACCCATCAAAATGTTCTCTGTATCTATGAGTTTGTTTTTGTTTAGTTTTTTTATTTTATGCTTTAGATTTCACATATAAGCAAAATCACACTGCATCTGTCTTTCTCTGTCTGACATATTCTACGTAGCACAATACTCTCCACGTCCATCCATGCCACCTCAGATGGCAAACACCCATTCCTTTTCATGGCTGAGCAATATATGGTATATATCTACCACCTCCTCTTTATCCATTCATCTATCAACAGACACCCAGGCTGCCTCCAAATCTTGGCTATTGTAAACAATGCTGCAATGAATACATGGATGCACACATCCCCACAAAGTAGCATTTTGGGTTTCTTCAGATTAATACCCAGTAGTGGGATACTGGGTCTTTCTTTATGTTTTATTATAGCTTTTGTTTTAAAGTCTATTTTGTCTGGTATAAGTATTGCTACCCAGCTTTTTTGTTTGTTTCTTAAAAAGATTATTATGAAATAATCTTTTTTCATCCCTTTTAGCCTGTGTATGTCTTTTGATCTGAAGTGTGTCTCTTGTAGGCAGCATATGTAAGGGTCTTGTTTTCTTATCCCTTCAGCACTCAAATGTCTTTTGATTGAAGCATTTAATCCACTTATATTTAAAGTACTTGTTGATAGATATGCATTTATTGCCATTTTATTATTCATGTATTTTATCTACTGCTTCTTCTTAAGTCCCCTAAATATTTCTTGTAATACTGGTTTAATGGTAATGAACTCCTTTAGCTTTTTCTTGTCTGGGAAGCTCTTTATCTGTCCTTTGATTTAAATGATAGCTTTGCTAGGTAGAGTAATCTTGGTTGTAGATCCTTGTTTTTCATTACTTTGACTACTTCATATCAATCTTCTCTGGCCTGCAAAATTTCTGTTGAGAAATCAGCTGACAATCTTATGGGAGCTCCCTTCTAGGTAACTAACTGCTTTTAATGTTCATTATTTGTCTTTAACCTTTGGCATTTTAATTATGATGTGTCTTGGTGTGGGCCTGTTTGAGTTCATTATGTTTGGGACTCTGTGCTTCCTGGGCTTGTATGTTTATTTTCCTCTCAGATTAGGGAAGTTTTCCATCATGATTTCTTCAAATAGGTTTTCAACTCCTTCCTTTTCTCTTCTCCTTCTGGTACCTATGATGCCAATGTTAGTACACTTGTTGTTGTCCCAGAGGCCCCTTAAACTATCCTCATTTTTTTTTTAATTCTTTTTTTTTTGATGTTCTGATTGGATGTTTTCTGCCACCTTATCTTTTAAGTCACTGATTTGAGTCTCTACTTCATCTAAGCTACTGTTGTTTTCCTCTAATGTATTATTCATTTCAGTTATTGTAGTTTTTATTTCTAAGTGGTTTTTTTTTAATATTTCCTTCTCCACTTTTATGTTTCCTGTCTCTTTGTTGTACTTCTCCCTGAGGTCACTGAGCATCCTTATAACTAGTATTTGGAACTCTGCATCTGGTAGATTGCTTGCCCCCATTTCATTTAGTTGTTTTCTGTATCTTTGTTTTGCTCTTTTGTTTGGGACATGTTTCTGTGTCCCACCATTTTGGCTGCCTCTCTGTGTTTGTTTCTTTGTATTCGGTATGACTACTATGCCTCCCATTCTTTGTAGAGTGGCCTTATGTAGTATGTGTCCTGTGGGGCCCAGTGGAGCAGTCTCCCTGGTCATCTGAGAAGGGTGCTCCAGGTATGTTCCCTTGTGTGGGTTGTGTGTGCTCTCCTGTGGTAGTTGAGCCTTGGTTGCTGTTTTCATGTCAAGGACAGGGATTGATCCTTGGGCTGATTAGTTGTGGGGATTGGTCATGACTACAGTGGAGAAGCTATTGTGCAGGGGCTCACCCTACAGAGCAGGATTCACTTTAGAAGTCTCTGGTGCCTGCCCACTCTGCCCTTTGGGTGTGTCATCCTTGGATGCTGCCTAGTGATTCTCCCAATCAGTTCAATGCTGGCCATGGGGCATCCCATCCCTGGGCCCTCCTGGGAGGGGCTCCGCCGCAAGCCAAGTTCAACTGCAGCATGTGCCCTGCCCTGGGCCATCTGGAATGAGCCACAAAGCAATCCACAAATGTCCACCACCTGTGCTGTGCTTGGAGGTACCTAGGAGAGACCAAGCCTTGAACTGAGGCCAGCTACCACTAGTCCTGGGCTTGGAGATGCTCAGCAAGAGGCAGGGAACACACTAAGACCAGATGCTGCTTGTTTGGGTTTTGTGAACCTTTAAGAGGTTTTGATAAAGTCCACAGAATGAGGATATACTGGTCTTTTATCTGGAAAAGCCACTGGTAGCAGCTCGGATGTGCCTGAAAGTTGGGTGAGGCTGGGTCACCAGGGCAGGTTGACTGGTGTTAGCCAGGTTGATGGAGACTCAGATATGGCAGCAGCCTGCGTCTGTACACAGGGAGGAGGGAGGGCTCAACAAAGAAACAATGGATTCTGCTAATACTTCTGTCTGTGAGAAAGCTCCCCCTCCATCCCTCACTCTGAAGCCAGACAATTCAATTTCTCCCTGTATGTCCCTGGTGCCTTCTGAGCTGCTACCTCAGTGCTGGAGCTCAGAGTGAGTGAGTCTGTCAGCAAGTAAGTCCATGGACAGGCCCTTTAATGGGAACACCTGGGACCCCAGACACCCACCATGTCACTCAGCCACAATTTCTGCTGGTTTTCACAGCCAGAAGTTGTGGGGACTTCTCTCCCTGGCACTGGAGCCTTGGGGTGTTGAGCCTGGTGGGGGGCTTGGATCCTTCACCCTCAGAGCATGGAGGGGGACTTCTGCAGCCAAGATATCTTTCCCTATTTTTAACAGTCGCATGTGGGTGTGGGACCAGCCTGTTCCAAATTTCTGCCCCTCCTACCAGTCTCGAGTTGGCTCCTTCTGTATGTCCTTAGATGTAGGACTTTGGATCAGCTAAAGTTCAGACCATTCTCAATGATAGTTGTTCTGTAGTTTAGTAATAACTTTGATGTGGTCATGAGAAGAGGGAAGCACAGCATTTGCCTACTCCGCCATCTTGACTGGAAATCTTAGTTTGAAAACAATTTTATTTTACAGAGAATGTAACTTGCTAATAGTTAA